ATATAATAATATTTAATATAAAATGTCAAAACATATAATATAAGAGATGTACAACGGCAACGGGTCACTTTACTTGATAGACGGTGAAACTACGACTAAACTGTAAACATGTATACAATAGGCTGCATTGAGTAAAACAACATAATCGTAAAAGGAATGTGTCCCTTTGACCTTGTACTATACTAACATAAGTAAAAATACATTAAACTGTTATCTTAAATAATATTACTGTATCCAGTGTGTTGTTTAATAATATCAACACTTACATGTGGACTCTCAAGATCTTCTATCACAACGTTCAACCACCAACTTTTCCTGGATCGTCCATGATGTATTTTTTTAATTAGTTTCCAATTAAATGACTGCTTAATAAAAGAATACATTAAAAATAAAGACATTTTATTAAATTTGAGTGATTAGTTTAATAATTTTTACTCTAGTTTTTTTTGTCATTGTCTTAATTAATAAAGAAACTATTTTTTAAGATGAAAATTTATTTCTATATTAACTTGCTGCTTTCACTCATTATAAAAATTAATAATGGTATTGAATTGCAAAATTACTAAATTCAATAAATTTTGTCATTATTTTGTTATTTCATGTGTAAGTATCTACTTAAATAGTTATTTATTTATATGCTAATTAAATTTATTCAATATTCACTAGACTTTTACCCCATCATAAAACAATGTTTATATGTCATTATATGTTCATATTAAAACTTAGTTTATATTTATTAATAGTTACTTCTGGTTATTCTAAAAACATGAGCATAAAAAATATTTCATAATTGATAAATTGAGAAAAACACGTACTAAAAAAAAGTCAAAGTAAATTTATTTTTACTTTCGATTAATTAGGTAAATAATTAATAAATTTAAAAAAACCCACTGCATTTAAATTTTTTTTTAAGAATTTCTTACGATTGTTTATACCATTCAATTATCAAAGTAGAAGTAATTCTCTTAAAGTTTTGGAGTTTAAATGTATATCTAATCTTTGATATTTTTATTTATCAAGATAAATATTTTTAAATTAGAGACCAAGGTAACATTTTTTATTAGAGTGATGAACATTTAAACATTTAAACGATGAATTTATAAAACAACCACAGGGGGGTCGCGGCACTGTGATGATGTGGCATAATTGGGTCAAGTATAATGATATCTGGCAGTGATTAAAATCACTATCGTAAAAAACGCTTTGATGCAAATCTTTAGATAGTGTTTAATTTTAAAAAATTGGTGGATTATTCCAAAAGTTACATGATCTGCTATTTCCTTATTTATATCCTGATTAAGATAAATTATGTCGAATGAAAAAGGGATTATTAAAAAACATTATTTCTTATAAAAAAATTGTGTTGATCCATACATTTTTCAATAAGTTATAGCATTATAAAGTTAACAATGTAAAAAATAAAATCGAGATTTTTCATACAAAAATAGCATTCGGTAGCCATTTTCACCGTGAAGACAAAATTAAGTCAGAATTTTTTTTTTTCTATAATAAAGTATATTACATTAACTATAATTTAAGATATATATAAAAGTGTCAAACCTTCCGAAACACTTTAAAAAGTTAAGTTGAAAAAGTTTTAAATCCCTCTTGTGGGCAGCTAAAGGGTCAGATTAAAAAAAATATATACCAATTGATAGGTAAAGACATCATGCATCTATAGAAAAAAAAGTTATATTGATTTAGTTATTTTTAATAAAGTTATAGCAGTTTTAAGTAAAAAAAAATTGAAAAAATTTCGAAAATTAGCAATTTTTTAAATTTGTAATTTTTTTTGGAGGTTACTCCCATTTACGGGGAACGAGGGAAATTTTTTCAATTTTTAAATGTAATGATTTGATTAGATACGATTTGTGATCTTTTGACGTATTATTGAAAGAAATCGGTTAGGTGGAGCTGAGAAAAAGTGGTAAAAAACACAAAAAAAAAACACATCATAGTAAAACCAATACCTTCTCAGCTTCGCATCGAACCTAAAATATTATCTATTGTCGTCTAAACTGATGATGCATTTCCATTTTTGTATTCAACTTTGTGTACATTAAGAGCAAAAAACTAATAACAAATCATTAAAGAATTCATTATAATGACATGTTTGAAAAAAATTGTAATATACTTTAATATTATACAGAAACTAAATCGGTTTTATGTATACAACTTTTTTTTTTAACCCACACCATTTAACTAAACAGTGATAATTTTTGTATCGTAAAACGTGTGAGAAACGTTTGTATAAGAAACGTGTGTGGAAATTTTGCTTTTTTAACTCTTCCTGATAGAACGTTACGTTAATTAACACACCGTTCTCATCATTCAACACGTATACTATGATTATTGTTTCTTTTATATGACCTATGAAAAATATTTCATTCGACCAATTCTGAGTATATCCTTTCACAAAAGCGGCTTTATTTTTACTTATACGAACTATAATTATTCGGTAAACGATAAAACTGTACGGTATTGGGATTTTTCGAGGCTTCTGTTGGTGTTTGACGGATCGCCGAATGAATAGTATTATTATAATCATTTGTTTTTTGTTTGTAAAATTGACAACCATTGATAAGATCTCGAGCGATAAATTTTTTCCACATGCATTCTTTAAGCATACGGTTAAAACGCTCGATTACGAAGGCCTTCACCGCCGAATATGTAGGAATATGTTTAATACTTCTCTGTTTTAGAAAAGTTTTTAGATCTTTATTAAAATATTTTGATCCCTTGTCTGTTGTT